ATTATGTAAAAATGTGGATGTGTAACCGATGTGATTCTTCGATCTGTATTTGGGGTAAAAATGGGAGTTCATAACCCACTTGAATCTAATGCATTCCACTGTTGTTGTATATTTAAAAAAATAATAAAATCAATTAAAAAAGAGTTTGGTAAAAGTTTAACAACTTTTGGTTTTATAAATGAGGCTCAGAGAGGTTAGTATATGACTCTTGATTTACCACCTAGAATTTCTGTATTCATATTAAGCTATTAAGCCAAAATGCCAGAATTTAAAGATATGGCATAAAAACTGAGCCGATTGACAAAAATCTATTTTTAGATTTTTGATATTTAAATATACTGCTTCCTTTATCTAGGTCCTTCAGCCCTCAGAATTTGGATCAGCATCTCTTGCAGAATAGTCAGTTTCTATTTGCTTAGGTATCATGGACTCCCTCTCCTGAGTTATATTTGAATGCTGCTATAGTTTTCCAGTTTGGCCGGCAGATGGCAGCAAAAACTTTGAGATGGCTACTACACATTTCACTTTTTAAATTGTGATTCAGAGCTTTCTTGATAATTCTGAATGTTCGATTTTAGTTTTGCAAATGTTACTCCAATAATCATGTTCTTTGGAGGCCTTTAAGACTGAAAAAAATCTATCAATTCGAGTAATGTGGCCCAATAGCAAAAAGGATTTGTTGCATTAATTAACCAGAGTGTCAGACTGATGAAAAATATAACAAGCCAGGCACTTATTAGATGGGAATGTGACATTCCACAAATGCCTGCAGCATTCTATTCACAAGAAAATCTGCAAAACTAAACCATAGCCCTGTCTTTCAGTACCAGAAACATGGCTTCCTAATCTACAACAGCATTTATGTTCTGATGTCATGGAAGAGGGGCAAACCCTATTCTCTCCAGTAATTTAATGTTTACAACTGTTCTTAGAAAGCAGATTTTTTTTTCCTTCTGAAACATTTTAAATGTTGACACTGTTACTTTGTGTTTAGTATTTGTTATTTGTTTGTTGTTGTTGTTTTGTTTTGGTGAGTGAGATTATCAGAGCTGACTGTAAATTGAGCTTGCAATGAAGTGCACAAAGCAATTGTTTGTATCCATTTAAGCAGCACAAGCAACAGTTTCTTAAGTATGTTATTCATCCAAATATAGCAAAATGTGGTTATTCTATGAAATAGACTGGTTAAACAGAGATCTCCAAGGTCTCTGCAGTGCTCAGAGTTTTGGGGTCTAAGATGAGCTCCTTTAGGCTCCTTTTGTGTTGTCTTTGTAAAGCAGAAATCCTTCAGGATTCCAGAACATCATGGAGCCAGTCAAAGCCCTTGTTCTCCAGTCCTGACACTTTACCTAGTAGCTTACTCTCTAACTGAACCTTTGACTGAAAACTTTTTTGCAAAGGAGTTTATGGAAAATGCTGGGTCAGGGCACTGACCAGATTCTTCCTCAATGATTTGATTGTTCCTGACCATCAGAAGAGAGAAGCTCTCTTAGGACATGCAGTACAGCATACAGAGGTCAGAGCCATTGGAGAATGTTACTGACGAAGGGATCTTACAGATCCTCTAAACTCACAAAATGAGGAAATGGAGCATCAGAGAGGTTAAGCAATTTGTCCAAGGCCAAAGGATAGCAGAGGAACCATAACTACAATAAAAGTCCCATTCATTCAACCAATACCTCTGGGTGCTGAAAAAATACACTGACCCCTAGGTATACAAGGAGGAGAAGAGACAGCTCATCCCATAAATGAGGAACAGGGACTGGGGGAGACATAAGCCAACAAAAATGTGATTGCTCTGTGACATGGTATATTTTATAGTAAGAGTTCGAAAACAGAGGCTGAGAAAGGATTTTTGAAGAGATGACAAAATGTAGTATATTCAGGGAATGTCAAAAATTTCTGTGTGGCTACGGTCTGGGAGCCATGGAAAGAGGCAGAAACTAAGGAGGAAAGAGGAGTTGGAATAAAGGGCCTTGATTCAAGCTAGAATCGTCCTCCAGACACTGGGGGCCACCAACATTTTAAAATAGCAGAGTAAGGCAGGAAGTGACTAGTGGCCATGAGGAAGATGGACTGGCATGGTGAATATGAGCAGACAGAGGGAGGGCTGACTGAGAGACTCTGATGAAAAAATCAGAAGAGCTTTTGCCTCAGGGTTTGAATGAGAGATTTCTCTGGCTCTAGCTTGGTAAAGTAGGTGGCTACGATGGGTTTGTGTCTGCCCAAAAAGAGATCTTGAAATCCCAGCAACCGGCACCTGTCTATGTAAATTTATTTGAAATAGAGTCTTTGCACATGGGATCAAGTGAAGATAAGATCATGATGAGTTAGGGTGGCTCTAAATCTAATATGACTGGTGTCCTATTGAACCAAAGGAGTACAAGAAACAGAGACTCGGACACACAGACGTGTGTTACAGGCATGTAACAATTCAGACAGAGGCTGGCATTTTATAGCTGCAAGCCAAGAAATGCTGAGGATTGCTAGACATTTCCAGAAGCTAGAAAAAAGGCACAGAATAGATTCATTCCCCAGTTTTGATTGTGTACTTTTGATTGCCTGAACCAGGAGAGTAATACATTTCTATTGTTTTAAGTCCTACAGCTTGTGGTTGTTTGTTCTGGAAGTCCTAGGAAACTATTACAGAGGGTGATGGCACCATTAATCTTGAGAGGTTCTGAAGAGGAAGGTTGTAAGGATGGAGAGGATGTTGGAATTACTGTCTGGCAGGTTATGGTTGAGGGACAACTGGAAATGTGGTTTCTGCAGGGGTGGAGCTAGGAGAGGAGGTGAGTCTACAAGCCACTGATTGGAAATAACTTTCACATAGATGATAGCTGGAGTTCTGGCTGGGAATATGGCCTCCAGAGAGAGCAGGAGTGTGGTGAGAACCAAATGTAGAAAGAACAATAGAGAATATTCTAGTGTGTGTGGGAGGAGGAGGAACTCGAAAAAGTGGAACAGGG